AAGTAGAGAAAACAAAAAATCTTACAACCTTGCACGGCTGAACTGCAAACAAATTTTCGGCACTCACCAGGCAACAACACATATACCTACCGCGGATGGCGATTTGCGAACAAAGAAAATGAAAACGATGGTTTACCGAAATAAAATATCGATTCTGGGAATGTCTGATGCCAGAGTGGGATATTGCTGAGTTTGCGCACGAAGCCAAACACTCAAGTCGCAAGCGATGTGAAGGTGCGGTAGAATAGTTGTGCTGGTATTGATTATTCGTACCATCTTCCATCACGTTCGCGATGGAAAAAGCATAAGCGAATGCCATGAAAAAGTGTGCGTGAGAGTTTTTCGACACCTTGCAAGACCGACTCCATCACAGTGAAAAAAGAGAGCGAAATCGTCGTTCAGAACGCGTACAGTATCCTCAGTGGATAGTTTCTGTTTAACAAGTGTGTTCTGAAGGGTCACTGCACTTGAGTAGGTGGAATGTTTGTAGCTACATCACAAAACAACGGAAAAACCTGTCTGCTCTTGATACATAAAATTTGCACTATTTATAAGCATTGACCGCTGTGAAGTACAACCTTCCGGTTTCATCATTTCCATCTTAAAGTCACATAATTAAAGTCAACTCAAAGGGTTGTTCAGACGATAACTCGCAGCACTTAAAAAAATTTTCTTGCCATTCTACTGGTAAAAAACAAGTAAATGTCCATAAATTTGAATATACTGAGCCAATAATTAAGAGGAAATTGAATTCGGGAACATTTTGAGCCAGACCAAATTCCAAAATTCACATTTCCAGCCGGCTACAAGCCGGAACCAGGGTAAATACGGGTGGCTATTCAATAGTGCAAGGACAACAAGCGATGCAGAACGTAGTCAGCGCTGCAACTGCCCCTGTTTGTCCACCTGTTATCGACCGTATGTGGCTGGAGCGTCGTACATGGTGGCGTATTGATTGCTGAGGTGGCTATAGGTAGTTATTGCCAGGTTAATTACTAGATTAGTTTCCATAGACTACCAGAAGGTTTACACTTCAAAGCAATATCACTCATAGAGAGAAAGAGCGAAAAACGAGAAGAAATCGAGACAATATTGCAAAGATGGCGATGGGAATGCAACACCACCGAACAATGCAAAAGATTGCGGTGAAAGAATTTTCTGTGTATTTCCATCAACACTGAAACAGCGTCAGCCATGAGTAATATTGAAGCGAAGCAAGTCTTTTCATACTTTTCGTTTGTGGGATTCGTCACAATCAGCTTGTGAATCGTCATGTAGTTCGCAACTATGCGTAAGTCCTCTAGCAACCACTACTACTTATTGCAGATAGAATAGTACTATCTGGTAAGTATCGTTACTCTTGGTGGCACTGACAGATAAAGTGAGCATAAGGAGAAGCAGTTCAACCACATAATTTCAGTGACTGACATCCTTTTCAAACAAAACCTGTTACCTAAGGAGTTTCAAAATAAAAATACCAGAACAACGTCAGAAAATCGCAATACAGGGAGCCTCAATTGCCCAAATACTTTCGGTAGAGACACATACATTGCGAACCTATCCAAAGCTAAGTCTGCTGCGCTCACTTTTGGGCAGGTAAACACGTTTCATTCATCGGAAACCCAGAAAGTTGTGAGAAGTTGAGGACAGTTACATGGCAACTGCATCCCCCCCCCCCCCCCACCCTCCCGCAAAGGTAAATAACAAAGATTGGCTGTATATTTCTGCATACGCAAATAACAGATGAATATCAATGATATCCAGTCCAACCGGTAATTACGAGCAATCCTTTGATCATTCACGGACAGATCAAGCCGCGCATGGCAGCGAACTGACACAAAGGTTATAATGGTATATACAGTACGGCCAGATGATGAGAGTGGCTAGGAGCAGAATTGTAAGAAACTGTAAGATGAATAAACGCAGAACATGGACAGGAGAAGGGAGATAGACTGGTCAGTGATGGGCTCGCGTGCAGGGGTAGATGTGTGACTGCATAACCACAAACCTTTGAAGAAGCCGTTGCCGATGATGGTACTGGCGGAGGGGGCTCGCTTGGTGGAAGGTTCATTCCTTCACCTAAAGATTCACGAGATGAACAACGATACGAAAAATACTGGAAAGTATTTGGAAACGCAGGTGAGCGAAGGGCCGTTCGATCTTAGCATAAAAGACAACCTTGACCCTATTACGGGGTGATGGAGGACTCACGAACCAATGCACGATAAGCACAGCAGACATTGAAAAATAAACAAAAAGGACTTGTTCACGGACTGAATCCGCTGCCTAACTGAGAAGAAGACACATTTACAACAATCCTGTTTAGCAAATTAGCAGCGTTTTTAAAGTGCGGGATAATTAGGCCTTGTGTCACGAAGTGAGCACAAGTTTCAGCATAGTCTGCCTCGCAACGGAGGTTCCAAGTAAACTGGGTAGCGCAAAAATCTGCTATGTGAGACAAAATATTTACTCATGTATGCTGTACCAAAGACAACTCATTCATTCACACAAGTGAGCAATGAGAACTTCCAAACCTTGTCCACCTCTGTAGTTAATCAGCGCAAATGTAATGTGCACTAGGTGAGCACTTTGGAGATAAAGCATGAGTGCACACAACGAAAGCAAGCTCGCCTATTCTTCTTTAGCATGAGCTCCTTTTTAGCTTCTTTGAGTTGTTCAATGGAATCTGAAGCTTACAGGCGAGTGATATGAAGATGCTAAAGGACTGGCGCGTGGCATAGTAGAAAAGGGTTTCTATCATTCATAGAGCACGGTCCGATCCCGCCCCGCGCACGGAGTCTTCACTGAAAACGTTGCTGCTCGTAGTAAACACTTCGCTACAATCCCATTCTACTTAAGTACACACACCGTCAAAGTGAGGTGCGTGTTGTACGGGAAATTTTCGCACATTTGACTCACTTTTCAAGGCAAAAACTGCGCAAGTAAGGTTTGTAGCGTTTTTCTGTGAATTTTTACGTATACTGCACACCATGCGCCTCTTCATGACTAGTCGCTCATTTATTATTGGGATTTTCTTTGTGTTTTCTGAGACTAATCACTTCTCAACGATAACAGTTTTCATTAATCGTTTGCAGGGTAATGAGTCGTGGAGTGTCGCGTTGCCTGTGCTTACTCACTGTGTACACCATATACTGTCTCAACTATACTTATGCTCGATTCATTCGTGACCTAACATGTGTGAGCCTGCATACTGCGCGCGGTAGCCGACGGCACTCTTATTAGTAACTCGCAGTCAAAGCTTACCGGAGCAGAGGGTGGAATTGCGCACTACTACTTCGCTTTCACCGTTCAAGCTTATAGAGAGAGGAAAGCAAGGAAAAATCCCCAAACATTGGCTAATACTGACGAGGAAATCTTGAGGTAGCACGTGTTTTCTGCGGCAGGGAGTCATAAATGAGTCGACTATAGATGCTTGTATTCGGTGAAAGACATGGAAGCCTGAAATTTTTCACCAATTTGGGATATCTGATTCCGCCGATAACATAATCTTTGCAACAGCCAATTTTCGATCATGTTGACAAGCTTGCAGATTCCTAGTTTTTGCAAGGTTCTATGTTTTATATGTATACAACCGCCATCAACGCTTGCAGTGGTTGGAAGAGGCAGAAGACGGCACACCTTTCCATGACCAGGATGACTAGCCGCGAGGGGGATACATGAAACGCCGGAATTGCAGCGGGCGCGAAAAGACACGTAATGCTGCATGTTTGTTTCAGAGGTATTGCGGCAACTGTACGAATTCTATGCTAACCCCATGTATTGAACAGAAAGGGATAAAGCCACTCCAAGAAGGAGTAAATTTTGTGTCAAAAGATAAAACATCATCTGTAAGATACTCTGACCTACAGGGATGAAACACAGCTCAAGCTTTGAACTCGCAATGAAAGAAGAAATCTGTCAGTTGAGTTGACATAGATCGCATATGACTGTACGCGAAAGGGCAGATCTCTAGAGGAAGCAGATTATACACCGCGGTGCACTTGCCGTCGGAGATCTGCAAACAAACATGGCACTAGCTCCGACAGGCACACTGCAATTGGAAACGACTCGGGATCAAACATAAATGGACGCGGCTTCGGTTACAGCTGCATCGGCACGTCTGCCTGGGAATGCCTGACGCGGACGCTCTTACGGTAGGGATAGTGCCATCCTTACTATATTTACTGTAATTTGATATCTTCGTTGCGCGGAACACGACTGTTTAAGCTTCCGCGTCCACTACTGAACGCGCTGCGCTTCGTGACAATGAGTACTGGGCTGAAGAAGGACATCCAAAGGCGCAGTGGATGCAAGCGCACACTTGGATACCTCAAAAGCCAGCTTTCGAAAGAAAGGGAGAGAATTGACGAAAATATAGTGCTCGTGCTAACAGTTTTTGATGTATGGCCTTACCAGCGAAAAAATTCCACTGTGGATGAACTTAGCGCGTAGCTGTCAAAGGTTGCGGATAATTCAAATTTGCAGAGAAAGCTACGCGCAACACTTCTATTTAAGGTATTATCAACATAGACAAATCTTGCACTTGTTAAATCACTCTATGTTCATGCAAACTACGCCTTAATAATGTTTCTTAGTGGTAGGCAGCTGCCGAACAGTAAAACATGGTAGCTTCAAACAAAACTGCTTCCAAATGTGATCTGTCCAGATTTATGTGGTTGGATCTCTTCATCCCGTTTTCTGCTACCAATACATATTTAGTTTTGATCGCGGTGATAAACAGAGAATTACATGTGGCAAAGAGCAAAGAAATATGAGAATGAACTTTCTTCGCAATGAAACGGACGCAGCACTAAAACACGACAGATACTCTGAAGCGTTTCCAGCATCTGATGCTCACTAACGAGACAATTCCTCGAACTTTTCTGTAAATTGCATAACATGAAACCTGATTTATTTCGAAAATTTGAAATATTTTCGCATCAGTTCATAAGAGGAGCTCCAATGATTTGTAAATCTGAGATACAAGAAAAAAGCCAAAATTAACAAGAAAATCGCAGGATTCGTATACTTTCGTATACTTTATGTGAACACGGGCTCGATTTGAACCCAATACCAAAAATGTGAGTTTTCACTCGCAGGAAGGCATTGCCCTGCTTGTGTGATACGCGGTATGCTGTCCACTCACCATGTCGCACAAGTTTGGGCGAACGAGGCTTCTCGGACGAATTGGTTGTTGAAGGGAGCGGCGGGTTCTCTTGTACTGTTTTCAGCGATGAAAGGGAACTTTCTGACATCGTAGGAATGGACGGTTGCCGAGTTAGCTGTGGCCGCGTCTGCAACAATATTATAACCCAAGAGCAATCCTCCAGTTTGAAAAAAGTACCCACTTCGGGTGGTGGTGGCGGTGGTGGTGGAGGCGGCGGTGGTGGCGGTAGCGGAAGTGCTGCCCGAGCAGAGCTTGCAAGAGCAAGCGGCGGTGGTGGAGGTGGAAAATCGTGAGGAGGAGAGTCGAGCCCACTTGCTCGGGAACCATTTCTCCTAAATACGTATGAGTAGACCTCATAGCAAAAAAATTGCTGGAAAGCTGAGCACAACGTCACTTATATGAACCACAACAGAATGAGGGGTAAAGAGCACAACATTCAAAAACCTCGCAAAATAGAGTCAAAATCATGCCCTACTCCTGAAGAGACAAAAAGCTCAATATGTTGCCTCTACAACATGTGACGGTCAAAATCACGCCACGTTAAACACCGACGATATAAACAGGAGACTAGTCTTATCAATGATTTTGCACCTTCCTTCCACCCCCGCCTATTACCCAAAGGAAATATATTCACAGAACTTGAACCTCTAGCAGTTAGGAGTGACAACCTTTCAGTTTGATTTACTTACTTCACTAATGTTAGCAAATATGACGAAGAACTTCAGATACAGAGGCATAACACTTGAAAGCTTTGTCACGCGCACAAAGGCCACACCAACAACATCGAAATTCCTTCATGCCAAAATAAAACCACATTCTATACCATTTCGAACTCTTTGAAATGTCCGGCATGATTGAAGACGGATATCAAAAGGGCATCTAGAATAATTTTGCTTTTCTTCTGATGACCAGTGCTGAGATTGTTCAAAAAACAAGATTAAGATCTTGCAAGGGAATCCACTAACGGAATCCAATAATCCAATAATAATTCCTTCACTGCTAAGGTAAGTGTGATTCATGCACTACATGTTGTTATTTTCTCTCTTATAAGTTTCAATCTTTTCCTCTCTTGCGACTGATCTCTTCATGAGATTTGACAAAACATGTCCTCATCGGTCTTTTAAGAATGCATGCTTCTTAATACCGTACTCATACAGCTTACAATTGTTTGCAACTTCTATCAAAATGGATAGAAGCGTTGTCAGCCAGGACGACGTTGCCTTCCATGATATGAGGTAATCAAATGTAAAAATATTGGAAGCATTGAGGACTCACGCAATGTTTTCCATAGCAGTCTTCTCGTCGGTAATTGGAATTGATGTTATCGAAAGATCTAGCATGTTGTCCTTCGTGACGTCCAGATTAATCGATGCCGATTTCAACGATACGTTGTCGTCCATGGCGTTACTAAATGTTGCGTTAATGAGTAGATGTTCGCAACAGCACATCAACAACTGCTGCTGCATACCGTACACAGACAACAGCATTCGACACTGCTGAGTCAGAGCGATAGAGTAGAAAACAGTAAGCCAAGGACGCTTTTGAGAAAATGATTTTTGAGCAAATTCAAAATTTTTGAAACCAAATGCTAGATGGAATGTTGTTTAATTAAGGTCGCAGAATGCATCTGTAAAGAAGTGGGCTACAGAAGCGGCGCAGGTGAGGGTCGGAAGCTTGATGAAGGCTTGATAGAAGCAGCAGCTGATCAACTTCAACACTGCGCTGTTCGAGAGAGAGTGAGTGGAGAGAAGAGAGCTTCTGGGGTCCCATCCCACGATCAGAATCATGCTGCACGGGTAATCCGTACTTTGAATGCGCGCTGGAGCAAGATTAATCCAATGAGACTCAACCTACAAAGCTATTCCCGATTTAACTTTAACAACCTCTGGAACCCTATGGAAAAGACCACGCTCTGAACCGTGAGAACTGCAAAATAAACACAAGTTTAGTTTGTTGGAAGATGCTGCGAAACATCCGTCAATTTCTTTGTTCACGCACTTGCCTTTTTCTCTCTGATTAGCACAATAAGAGAGACATAAGGACGTGTGAGCGGGACACCCTCAATGCGGTCCTTCAATGCGGTAAGTGTTACAAACAGAACCGAGAACCAATCTCAGTGTGGAAATGGTCCAAAAAGACTCATGTGCCGCATGCCTCCCGCTGGGAATGTTTAGGGAGTAACGGGATTTTGAAAAAAATCACAATATTTCGGATGAAGAGATGAACAACTGGACCTATCCCGGCCACATAGAAGAGCACACATTCAATCAAGACATAAATAAAAGCCGTGTTATGAGAGTGAAACTGTAAGTAAGCATATCGTAACGATCGGCTTCCATAGGTTGGTGACATAGCACTACTAGTCAGTGATCGTCACTCTCTAAAATGCCACATGGACTAGAACTTGAGGTCGAGTCAACGAACGGGTTCACCGCGTGAAGATAACAAATGATCTGGGGGTATGCATAGCGTTTTGGCAGTTTGGTTAGAACGCTTGGCAGATTCTCTGCGCAGAACAACAACTTCAAGTCTAAATTTTCGCATTCTTGTAGGGAGCTTCGATTTTTTGTTTAATTATAGTTATGCGATGTTAGCTAAGAAAAACGCTGCACTAAAAACAAAAATGTCTTACACTTCAAAAATCTTCCAGCTCTTATACTGATGACAGAAAGTTGCTTGATTATCTTAATCACTAAGCATACTTCACTCGCTAGAACAGATCATAGACGTAACTTCACTTGCTAGAATAGACCATAGACGTAACTATGTCAACACAGCCTCGCACTGACATAATTCACAGAAACTTCAAAGGTGCGAAAACTCGTTTGTATGTATATAATCCGCTAGCAAATGAACACGGCAATAAGTTCGTTTTTACAATGCAGAGTCACTATGCATCAATATCCCCATCACTAAGCACTCAAACACCTCCCACACCTTTCGCCCTAAGCTTCTGACTACTGATGTTTTGCTGAAGGCAGTGTCCGGGCAAGGTTGAGGCAGGTGGACTTTAGTCGAGGACGGCAACCGGACAGGAAACCTCCTTGCTTGAACTTTCAAAAAGATGAGCTCCATCTTACCACTGGCGATTTGAAAAGCTGGTTTATTCTTCGAAATTGATAACTTGAAAATACAAGAGGACAATTAGCTTATTAGTCAAAACCCTTCAAAAGTGCTTTCCGAGCAGGATTTGTTGGGTAAACAGTTTTATACCTTGTTGTGATCTCCGCCCCAAGTCATCGGGTAAATTTGAACGTACAGTATACCTTACGCTTTAGATTTTACGAAAGTCAGATAATTTTGAAGATTAGAGTCAATGGCTATGGCGTACTTATTTGACGGCAGCCTTACCAAGATTTTGGAACGAAAAAATAAATTTTGTGTATCTGAAAACTTCAGAAGAGATACTTCCTTTCAAGGCAGAATGTTACTGAAGGAGTTGATCAGAAAGAGAAATAACAAGTTTATAGGTATTTGAATACAAGTGTGCACCAATGCAGCAAAACTGTTGTACTTGAGACCCGAACGTATCGTTTGTGCCGATCGAGATGCAACAAAATCCAGAAATAACTACATACGACAGCAAAAGTGAATGATCGCGTAGATGAGTTGCGGAACGATGATTCATTCTACAGCTGTATCGATACTGTGCAACATTGACTTTCGAAGAAAAAACTGCACTTATGGCGCCGTGAGTGGTGCTTCTATGATAACAAAGTTTCAAAATGCAGGGCGCTGAAGAATGCATGTAATCATCGTCGCGGACTGCCCTCACATCATCTCCATCCTATAAAATGCGCCCAACTACCAAAAGAACCGTTCAGCTCGCTTCTACCCAACATTTTGAAGTAAATTGCGACGGCGGTAATTACAGTGCTGAAGAACAAGGAAAGCATACTTATCAGTACGAGCAGTATTTACTACTTCAAACGAAACTTCATTTCATTTGACCTGTTTGCCCTTAAAATACGGTGAAAAAACACACAGAAGAAAGGCGTCTACCAGGCCGATTTCGAGCATCGCGCTAATGCTCGAAATCATCTTCAGATTGAAGACCATGGAAAAAGATGGAGCGGATCTGAAATCTCGACGTTCAACAGATGGCAAATCCAGCAGGAAAATCCTCCAAAACCTCATCGACATAACGGAAAACACCACACCGGAAGTTGACTGGAATGGCAATGGCCTTCCTCGTTGCAACCAAGACTTAGCGGGTACACTGCGAGAAGAGGATTAACGTCAATTTGATAAGAGGATCGCACACCAGCCGAAAAGAAGTGAAAACACCATGAAAGTAGCCACAAAAGACGGCAAGCTGAAGCAATCACAAAGAGTAAGTGCTAACTATTACAGCAAAATATAATCGATAAGGTAGAAAAGAGAGGAATACATTGCAGAAGGTTTGAATAATAAATATGATCATTCTCTGTAGAGAATGAAGTAGAGGGATAAGGAGATAACGCGAGTGATCCAAATTTTATCATATACCTACTAATTTTGGGGCAACTTTGTTCAAGCAGTACGTGTCAATCGCCTCTCTACTAAACAAAAGAAATTCTAGATTCCGTTTTTGAGGCTCATTTTACAATACCAACATAAAAAGAAAGAGTAAGCATCCGTTAGAAGCAAAAGCTGTATAGCCAATGAAATATCTTGATTTGCGCACAATGTACTATGAATGTGTTCTTGTCCAGCTTCCTAGCCAATACTACATCAATATTGTGGTAATAGAAGTAAGAAGAATTGGATGGACGGATAAAATGTGAACGTAGTCACACAGCGACAGGTTCGCAAGCGAGAGCATTACCATGAGGACACTCAAAGAGTAGAGAATAGTGAAATTGTGAGCCATGTGGTGCTGCTGCAAACCGGTTCCAAAACACTAAGCGCTACATATCAGTTCGAATGAACGTCCAGTTCGCAGTATCTCAAGAAATTGTATGAAAGAGTTCACTTTCTTCCAGCAAAAAAATTTAAACATCGCGAGCCACGAAAAGCCCATGGCATATTTGAGGAAAGAGATGCAGAAATAGCTAGCGGTTAGCGTTTTCCGGTTTCGTCTTTAACAACTCATTCAAATTAAGTTTTATGACCGAAAAAAATTCATAAAGGCAAGAAGCACCGCAACGTCCTAATCAATCTGACAAAGTTACTGATGAAGTCAAAGTCATATGCAAGTCTAAACTATGCAGTAGAGCTGTGGCTGCCAAGTAGCTCGTTCCGACAAATTAATGATGCAAATGAATATTAGGCAGCGAAAAAGAATCTAGACATAGAATTCGAAAAGCAAGCAAGTACGATCAGACGGCCGTTCAGTTCAACTTACTGTGGGGAAGGTGCGCCATACAGTGAGTCACTGAGCAAAGTATCTTATCAAAGAAAGCTAGACTCAGCAATGAGATCAATATGATCACTGCTTCAAGTAACATGCTAGGAAATTTAACTTCAATTCTTCATATACACCAACAATACATGGAGGATAGATTCAAAAATTCGATTTTAGTCGAGGTATAGCGCTCATCGCTCATTTTAGTATGTGACAGTAAGAGCAAAAAACACATGTACATACACGTATGACGTGAAACTTACATATGAAAACTTCAATCAAACCTTGAGCAAATTTATGAATATATAAAAAGACTCACAACTGTTAGAACTCCAAGAGCTCTAAATCGCTTCCTGAATCTCCTTGTGCGCAGCAGTCCTAAAAAGCCTTATGCATCGTTGAAGAAACAGTGGAATAGCCGAAATTACTGAACAGACACTGAGTGACGAGAAATTCTAAGATATAGCACATGTACCAAACAAAGAGCCCAGTAAACGAAATTCAGAACGCACTTTCTGCCAAGAACTTCGAGCATGAAAATGGCTGCACTACTATATGAAAATTTGCATACGAGTATGGTGGTTTTTACACATGCAATTATTAAAAGGAAACTCAAGAATAAATCAAAAAAAACACATGATCAACCTATAGATAAGGCAGCCACGCCTTGCCAGGTTGACTCATGCGAAAGTTTGTGTAATGACGGACACTACACCCAGATGGTACGCGAAAATCCCCCGTTGCGTTGAGACCTTGTCGCCTGAAAAGAACTACATTTGTATGTAGATGACAATAGCATCCGGGCTAACTAAATGCATGCTGACGACGTCATGTTGCAAGAATTCATTAGCATCCAGCAAATGCATAGGTTGATAATAGCTTGTGGTCTATACTGGCATAAGCTACATAAGTATGAGCATATGAAAACTATCAAAACTTTAGACAAACTGGAAACTCTGAATTTTTTTACTTTTGTTGAGCCCTGACCGGAAGACCGTTGGCATGTCTATGCTCATGGTGAAAATAGGAAATTGATTTCAACGTGATTTTCAAAGTGTTATCGTCAGGGGAGATGGTTAAGAGGCGCGATTTCTCCAGAGGTCACCAATGTGACAGTCCAATTCAGTGCTAAGAGAGTCATTCAAGAATTCCCGACAAAGTGCTCTAGCTTACTCAATCTGAAGCTACCCCTTGCTGAGTTTGACGGAGTTTGGTCAAAAATCGAGTGAAATATATATATATATATATATATACTTACGAGAACGCAATTAGTTGCATTTTAACGGGTTTTTGATCCTCAGCACTCATGTTTTGAATCTGTTTCAGAGTGATAAAATTAAGTAGCCTATGGGACGTTCGTACTTACCTTATCGAGATCTGAATTACTCCTAGAACATGAAAGACTGAAAGGCGCTAATTGGTGTCAATCTGGCAACAAGTCAGCTTTTTCAAACGACTATAAAATCTCGTTAAACATGCATTCGATGCAGCTTTCCCTTCTCTTTTTGAAGGTCACATATGGAAATCATTATTTCCAAAAGCTTCTCAGAAAACTATCAAAATTCTTCATCTTCATTTGCTCAAAGTTCGGCCATTTCCAAAAATTATTCGAGAGTTTCGGAAAGGTTTAGGTATGATGTGTATAGAGCAGGACTATACGATGGTACTTTCAGATTCTTGTGATCCCCCGTTTGGAGCTTTGAAAAATTTTTCTTTGGAGATCTCGTTGGTAAAGTCATGAAACACGCAGCTGAAGTGAAAACATGGACGGTTCCGAAGTTTCTGCGAATTGAAACTTGATTGTTATTAAACATCATTCGCAAAATATTCACGTTTGAGTTGCTAAAAAGAACCATTCATTCCTATGCGTTAGGACAAAAAACTGGGTTTTTTCTCAAATAAGTATTTTTTGCAGACTTCAGAAACTTGATCAATGTAGTCTAAAATAAGGGTAACCCAAAAGTTTACTCTACATGAAAGCTTCCGTAATTATTTGAATGTACTAGGATAAAGGTACAAGAATAACGGAAATTATGGCTTACCGCCGAAGAACTCACAAAGCCCCGGCGATAACATAGCAAAGACTGCTAGATCCGAGAGAAAATTAAAATATCAAAAAGAGGATAAAAACTAAATCACACCGATCTCCACTTCTTTTGAATAAAATAAAGATCATTTTGGATTCGCAAACATGTATTTTGCAACGGATGACTGCAGCATTCTGTGGCGTAATTTTAAGGTCGAAATCACCAGTGATTTTACAGGACCTTTGAGACACCCTGTGATTATTTATTGCTCAAACGCAGTAAATACACGGTTTTGTTCTGTTTTCCTTTCTGGATATCACATTATCCCTGGTTTGAGACTAGCTGGTGTTACGTTTACTCAAATTTGCTTTTTTCCTTTTCAAAGGAAAACCATGAGTGTAATCATAAATAAAATAAAATAAAAACGCGAATAGTAACAAGTTGTAAGGGGTCATAAATACGCGGCTGGAAGCTTGAGAAAGAAAAGTAGACAAAAATTAGGGCGAATTAGTTCCTTCCGTTTAGAATTTCGAGTCTGCATCCAGCATCCCACAGCACTTTGATAGCGAATGCACCAAACCAGCGGTTGGACGGCAACCCTGTTGTGTTGGTATGATAAGAAAATAAATCAAAGGTGTATGAGTATGAACATTTCATAAACATTTTGAATGTGTGAGTCGTTTCATGCGATTGTAGACATGCTGATCTTGTGCATCGTATTAGGTCGGTTCGAAAGTTCGCGCTGTTTTCCAGACCCATGCTTAAAGGCACCGTCCACCCAGATCGACTTCCAGGTTTTTGTCGTTTCAGGGCCTTCTCATATCCCTGATTCCGAATATGAAGTCGAGAATCCGCAAAAACTTCGATAATCCCCGTTCCGGAGAACACACAGGTCGGCTTTCCATAACGGTGATTGGATGGGAGCGCACAAATGGGCGGGCATGGATGGAGGGGGGCGGGCATGGATGGGGGTCCTCGTGCATCTTCGCTATACCGAAGCGATTTTCTCGCTTCAGAAGCAGCGTTTTGTGCCGCGACTTGAGCACTGGCATGATAGGACAAGCTCAACACCCTCAACTTAGGGTGGACGGTGCCTTTAAGCTACCTAATGAAGATAGACAAACGCTATAAGCACTGTCCGATGCGTGCCCTTGTTCAGATTTCCTTAATGCCCGCTCAATAAACGGCAGAGCTCTCCAACTCATGATTTTCACCCATCCAGTTTGACTATTTCTTGAACTTCGATAACAGCTGAATAGAATAAACAAAATGCAATACAATACAAATTTCTGGCATCTCTAGCTCGCTTCTCAAAATTTTGAAAATATTTTACTGATGCTATCAAATTCGGTCTTTGGGCATCTCAATCCACACAGAGCAATAAACTACTAGCAACCAAAGTGTCATTCGATGCAGCTCTTTCTCCTCTTTGTGATAGACTTCTTTTCTTTCTGATTTGTATATATTTGAGGAAATTCATCATGATTTTTGTTTTCAAACGCGTCCCAGGCCGTACCCAGAAAACTTGGAATTCAATATCTGATTTGAAGCTTCTATTAGGTTGTCCGAAATTGATGTCCGTTTTGAATTTTAACCGAAATAAGTCATACACTTCTCAATTCTGAGTAGGTTGCAAGGTACCATTCGATAGAGCAAAGCAAGCTCGACAAGAAGGCGATCTTATTTTTGCAGCAGCTCTCATTAACCTTGCGTTTCGAGCCAAAAAACTAAAAAGATTCAGCTGCTCGAAAAATCGAGAAAAATCGTAGCTCAGTTCCAAAGAATCCTACAAAAATTCTAACGCTCTCACGTAGGCACTATCCATATAAGACGTCTGTGTACGCCCTTGCCGTTTTTTTTCACCTTTTAGAAATCAAGAGAACGAAAATTTTTGTGCATTTGCCAAAGTGATGATGCTGTGCTGTCCCACATGAGTAGTTGTGTGGTACAAACCTGTAGAATTACAAACGTAAATTTTTAGCTCTCTACAAGCTTTGGTTCTCGAGAAATATGAATGTGGTTTGGACCACCTGACTAGGGAAAGACATATTCGATATTTTCGAGAACCAAAGTTTGTAGAGAGCTAAAAATTTACGTTTGTAATTCTACAGGTTTGTACCACACAACTACTCATGTGAGGACAGCACAGCATCATCACTTTGGCAAATGCACAAAAATTTCCGTTCTCTTGGTTTCTAAAAGGTGAAAAAAAAACGGACAGGGCGTATACAGACGTCTTACATGGATAGTTCTAACGTGAGCGAGTTAGAATTTTTGTAGAACTCTTAGGAACTAAGCTAAGAATCTTTCTCGATTTCTGGAGCAGCTGAATCTTTCTAGTTTTTGGCTCGAAACGCAAGGTCAAGGAGAGCTGTTGCAAAAACAAGAAGGCCTTCTTGTCGAACTTGCTTTGCTCTATCGAACGGTACCTTGCAACCTACTCAGAACTGAGAAGTGTATGACTTATTTCGGTTGAAATTAAAAACGGACATTAATTTCCGGACAACCTAATAGAAGCTTCAAATTAGATATTGAATTCCGAATTCTCTGGGTACGGCCTGGGACGCGCTTGAAAACAAAAATCATGACGAATTTATCCTCAAATATATACAAATCAGAAAGAAAAGAAGTCTTTCAGAAAGTGGAGAAAAAGCTGCATTGAATGACACCTTGGTTGCTAGTCGTTTATTGTTCTGTAAGGATTGAGATGCCCAAAGACGGAATTTGATAGCATCAGAAATATTTCCAAAAATTCTGAGAAGCCAGCTAGAGATGCCAGAAAATTGTATTGTATTGCATTTTGTTTATTCTATTTAGCTGTTATCGGAGCTTACCCAAAAGTTGAAAACTGAAATTTAAAAAATAGTCAAACTGGATGGGTGAAAATCATGGGTTGGAGATCTCTGCCGTTTATTGAGCGGACATAAGGAAATCTGAAAAAGGGCACGACTATTAAAAAGAGGAAGAAATTCATCGGACAATGCTTATAGCGTTTGTCTATCTTCATTCTAAGTAGTTTAAGCAAGGGTTTGAAAAACAGCGCCAACTTTCGGACCGACCTAGTATATGGATGGGAGAAAAAGTGTAGAAACATCCAAGGTAAGTCAAGTTACGGTAAACAGTGTAAGTCTAACAGAATCAAGCTACTATTTGTATCGGTGATTGGAGCATGATTAGTGCTGCAATTCTCAATACAGGGCGAAAAATGTAGCTTGAAGCTGTTTTTCGTTCTTTTGAAGGAAATGGATTATTACTTTCATTGACTACAAAGCTGGGGGAAAGTCCTTGAACAATTTTTGATGTCCTTGTATGTTCGGCTTTTCCAGAAATTTTTGTATGCTAATTATATATAGTTGCT